ATTTGAATCATATACACTCTAAAAAATAAAGGTTCTTTATCAGCATCTATGGTTCCATGAAAAACCTTCATGGTACATTAATGGATCCTTTCCATTTCATAAAAGGTTCTTTATACTGGAAAAGGTTTCTTTAGATGATTAAAATCTTCTTTACACTAATAAAAATTGTTATTTTAAGAACTGTTCACTAAAGAACCCAGAATGGTTATTTTATGGCACTGCTGTGAAAACCCCCATTTGGAACCTTAATTTTTCAAAGTTTCTGTATTAAATAAAAAAGGTCTTTTTTTTTATTTATTTTTTTACATTTTTTGTTTGTTCATGCTGACAGAAAAAAATACAGAAAATCTTTCTGAAAAAAAAAAGCAAATAAAAAAAAGTCTACTGCAGGTTGCTACCAAGCTTCTTCACCCTGCATACTTATCAATATAGTTTATTGCAAGTTTTCTGCATCATGAAGAAGCACGTTCCTTCTTTCTCACCGTCAAAGAATAATGACTCATTATATGGAAATCAGCATCTGCTTATGGTTTTAAACCTAAAACAAAACATCTATTAGCAATGTACTGAGTGGCTTGAGTCCATCAGCGTGAACACAGAATGCCTATATAACTCAATACACTTGTTTATGTAGACTCCTGTATGAACTTGTAAGGTCATTAGTGAGCGGGTTTCACAGGATAAAAGTAGATACAACTCTGGTCAGCAAAATATGACTCTCACACCTTTACAGAGCTGACAACATTATTTCCAGAGTAGCCTACCTATATCTGTATATATAGGTAGATATAGATATAATCTGTCTATATGCTAGAATAAATTGTCTATATGTTACTAGTTAATACTACTTTTTTTATATTAAAACTTAGATACAAATTTACTAATTTAAACAAATAAAATGTGTGTGTGTGTGTGTGTATAGGATATATATATATATATATATATATATAAACATTTTAAAAATATTTTAAATAAATATCTGTCAACATAAACAAGCTTAACAGTTGTATGTACTCAAAGGCCTATGTATTTCTAAATTAATCCAGATGTTTTAGTTTTACACAATCACATGATTGATTAAAAAAACGCACAGGTGCTTTTTAAACGTACTTTATCAATACAAATGCCACTAGAAACCTAATTATTACAGCTTTACTGTATCTGACCACTATTGTCCTGCATATAACGGGACACCGTCCAGTACCTTCTACCCAGATCGTCGGTGAACTGACCGATTGTGGAGATGAAGGTGGTGTTAAACGCGTCCTCGCTGAATCTGAACAGCAGACATGTCTTTCCCACTCCACTGTCTCCTATTAGCAAGAGCTTGAAAAGGTAATCGTAAGTCTTCGCCATTTACCAAGCCGGTATTTCCTTTATGAATGACAGTGCACAGTTTCCCTTGTTCAAGACACAAAAATCATAGGGTCTCGAGCGAGGGCGGAGCCTCGTGTTGTGACGTCGGCGCATGCCTCCTGGTGATTGGTCAGTGTAGTTTCTAGGAGGACAGTGATACGGAATTCCCCCATACATTACGCGTGGTAGTTATCAAGAAAGTACTGCATATTCGATAGAAAGGTTTTAAAATAATTATTCTAGTATAGACTATTAAAACATATTTAAAGATTTGATACTGATATATTGATTTGATATGTAACACTAAGAATAAAGACTTTTTGGAAAGTCTTTGGACATTAACCCCCAGTTCCACAGACAAGGCTTAAACCTAATCCCAGACTTAAATGCAAATCTGAGCTGTTTCAACTGAAAGAAACTTGCACTGACTGATCTTATATTTATTTGATCTTTTCATACCCTTTATTTGTTTAATTATAGCATTTCTACATTTTGTGATATATTTGTGTGTTGGCATAAAAGACCTTTAAATGACAGACTGATAGATGGTTAATACCATTAAGACTTAGAAATTCAAATTTCCATATACAGTTAATAACAAGGTTTCACTCAAAATAACTCACGAATCAATAATAATAAATACAACTGTATCCAAATGGGTCATTTGCTTATCTATTTGATAACTTCCTGCATTTACTGTCCAGTACTGAAAACAATACTAGTGGTGTTGCCATTGAACAACCACTAGGGGACGCAGTCACCAGCTGTGCCAGGTGGGATTAAATAGTAGTGCAGGTTTACTCAAAGATTGCAATACCTTCAAATAAGAATACATAATAACACAAATAATTACAAATAACAACTAAATGTATCCCGTAGGAATGGCTGCTAATAAAAAGAGTATGTGCCTCGAGATGACTATCAAGGTTGCCAGTACGGGAAACATTCATCCAGAAAGTTAACTCTTTTTTCTTTCTTTTTCTTTATTACAAATTGTGATTGTGCAGTTTCTTCTTCTTCTTCTTCTTCTATTATTATTATTATTATTAATATTAATATTATTATGTCGATTTATAGTAGAGCTGATGGCAATCAATGTTCTTTGTTGAGATATGAAGGTGACCGATAGCAGCATTTCGCCAGCTCGCCATCACTTACTGTCGTCGAGCAGATGTAATATTCGGGAAATTTGTGATTGTACAGTTTCTTCTTCTTCTATTATTATTATTATTATCAATATTAATATTATTATGTCGATTTATAGTAGAGCTGATGGCAATCAATGTTCTTTGTTGAGATATGAAGGTGACCGATAGCAGCATTTCGCCAGCTCGCCATCACTTACTGTCGTCGAGCAGATGTAATATTCGGGAAATCGCTGTAATGTTGTCAAGGTTTATAAGGTCCAATGTATAAAGGCGTGTTTTATTGTGGAGCATGCCTGGGCATGTCTCTTCAGATTTCCTTTATGAAGCTGCACTTGGCAACCCTGCAGTTCTCGAGAGATTCGAGGAAAGGTGCAGCAGAGCCACGAATGCGAATATCAGCAGCTCCCGACAATGCCTGTAAGTGGCTTTGCTCAACTAAACAACGATTCTCGCATTTGACAGTTGGTAATATATGCTCTATCGTCTGGCGTTTCAATATTGATTCGGTTGTTGATTATTTTAACCGTGCGATAAACATGGGAAAGTTTGTGATTTCACGTGGCGCTGCGCAGGTTCAGATAGGGCCTAATGTTTCACTTCACACGAGACATGTTTAAACTGTTGCAGTGCACCGAGTAAAATGATAGCTTGGACAAGATTGGTGTTTTATTTGTCTTTTTAAAAGTAAGGTATTGTAGTTTTCAGACTGACAGTGATGGGAGTGATCAATATGGCTGTTGAACAGTGTTGTTTTTGTGTGCAAAGAAGCATGGTGTCAGTTTGTAATGTTATTGCGGTAGTGCCTATATAAATATAGTGTTGCTTAGATTGTAGATGTTGTAACTAAGAGAGTAAAATGACTGTCATATTGTTGCAGATAGTGTATATATAGTAACATTTATGGGGTGTGTGAATTAAATAAAATTTACATATATATTTAAATATTAATATTTGCATTACACGCATTAAAAATTTTAAATGTGTGTAATTTTGTGTAAATATTGGAAATGCCAAAAACTCACATTTAAAATGCCAATATTTTCATTATTTATATATATACTCGTGAAAATGTGCCCCCGGGTACGTTTTTGCCATGAGACCAGTTTGCATATAATCATACCATACTTTTGCATATTTAAAATAATATATATATTTTTTTTTTTTATGTGATGTTTAATTTTATGTAAATTGAAATTCTAATTGTAAAAGTATTGAAAATTTTAACATTTACATATTTTTCACACAGACATATATATATATATATACACACACACACATACTTACATTTTAAATATTTATATATGTGTAATTATATATAAATAAATGTATAAATTTAAATATTTACATAATTTCTTTTCAGTAAAAAAATAAATATTTTAACTATATTTTTGCCAGCTGGCCAAAGATCTGCTGAACCCGTCCTTTGATTTTGAGAGAAGGCAGCATAAGAAGAAAAGGCTTGTGCAGAGTCCCAACTCGTACTTCATGGATGTGAAATGCCCAGGTTTGAGATCTTTAGAAGAAGCGTTTGTTTGTCTTATCATGGGTAATGTATCACTTGTAGGAAATGTAATCTTTTCTGCTTATCTTCACGCAGGTTGTTATAAGATCACGACTGTGTTCAGTCATGCGCAGACGGTTGTGTTGTGCGTTGGGTGTTCAACAGTGCTCTGCCAGCCCACAGGAGGAAAAGCAAGGCTGACCGAGGGTGTGTATCTGCTGAATGATTGTAAAACATCCAGCCTGTCTGGGTACTTTTGAATCGGACGTAACTACAAATCTAAATATTTGATACAGTATCTCAAGCTACTTATTTTCTTTTTTCTAATAGGTTGTTCTTTCAGAAGAAAGCAGCACTGAGAAGGATGAAGAAGGAGTGATGCTTTGAATACAAAGAATTGTGCAACTTCTTAATGCCTTACTTTTCATTGATTACAATGAATGAATTTGAATAATGTGATAATGAATGGTGCATGGCAGGTTCTTTCTACCATGCTATCAGTTCAGTGGTTCTGAATAAAGTTTCTTCTGCATGATACAGCTGCATCCTGCAATTTAATTCAAACGTATTCAAAACAGTCAGTGCAACATTTTTAGTTTCATTTCTCATCTCATGCAATGATCAGCACCTTGGCGTCATCTTTTGGCGTCAAGTTTGAGGATCAGATTTTCAGTGTTTTTTTTTTTTTATTCTGTTATGCTCACCAAGGCTGTTTATTTGATGAAAAATATAGAAATCTAGTGAAATATTATTATAATTTAAAATAACATTTTTCTATTTTATATTGTTTAATAATGTAATTTATTCCTGTGACGTAAAGCTGAATTTTCAGCATCCAATATTCGAGTCTTAAGTGTCGCGTGATCCTTCAGAAATCTGCTAATATATGCTAATGAGTTATCTTTTTATTAATATTATACATATAAAAAACAGTTGTGCTGCTTAGTATTTTTGTGATTTCTTTATAAAATAAAAAATAATCTCACCGACCCCAGGCTATAAATTGGATGTGAGGGTTTGTAAACAATATAAAATTAGCTAGAATACTATAAACTGACTTTTGCATTGAAAAGATTTTTGAGATTGCTTTCATTCAGTTGCAATTATGGATATTCAAGTAAACAAAGGAGGAATTGTACTGAAATGTTTTATTTGTGAAAATAAAACATTTTAAAGAAGGAAACAACACATTAAACATATGGTGTCACATTCTTACAAATACAGATTTTCAACTGGCTCTTGACCAAAGCACATCTATAGATTAACATACAGAAGTGAACATACTCAAACATACAGAATAATTTACATGCAAATTTAAGTCACTATTAAATTCCATTTTTTTTTATCCAAAATAGTTGCTTTAATTAAATGTCCGGTAACACTCATTTATGGTGGTAATTGCCAAACACTCCTGGTTCCTCCTCATCAGACACTTCAGAAATAATTCCAATGGTGGCAAGAAAATGGTCCGTTTTGTAAGGCTTGGTGAGGAAATTCTTGCTGTACGTATCGCTCAGCAAGAACTAAATTTAACCGGCCTAATACTGAGTGTACATTTGCAGCCACACAAGTATTGCACCAGTGTTTCTTCTATATGACATTTACTGAGTCTGGCACTGGACACCATGCCTGGGGCCTTCGTCTTCATCGCAGGCTTCACCACTGTGGTTTCTCTTCTGTTTTTCATAGTCTACTTCACACAGGTCAACCTCTTCCATATCATCTGACATCATGACGTGATCTCTGACTGGAAGTAGCCTCTCCAGGTCAGGCAGCATGTGCTCAGGTAGCCAGTGTTTATCTGGGAACTCAATCTGAGGGAATAGAAAGGCTTCTGTAAGATGTGATGGTCCCAACACAAACTATAATTTAATCATTGCTTTCACACAAGTTTTTTTTCTCTATTATTTATTTATATATTTACTAAACATTTATTTTTCCAATGTGAGATTTTTATTTATTTGTTTATTTGGCTGTAAGCAATTAGTTTTTTTCACAGAAGATTCCAAGCAAAATACTCATAAGAAATGAAAAAGTATAATAATAATAATCACACACATTAAATTATATTAAATTACTTTAGTTTATATTTAATTAGTTTTTATTAGTAATTGGGTTTTTTTAGCAGTAAGCAATTAGTTTTGTTTCTATAAGATGCTAATCAAAATGTTAAAAAATAATATATATATATATAATAATGATAATAATCACACATCATATTCAATTTTTTTGTTATTTTCAGAATAACTTGTAATTAATTTAGATCTAATTCAATTTATATTGAATTAGTTTTGTTTTTGTTCTTGCAAAGCAAAGCTTAAATACAAATAGTAATAAAAGAAAAATAATAAAATATAATAATAGTAAGAATTTTAATTATCACAAATCTGATTAAAAATGTGTCCATTTTGTAATTTTCAATGATTTTAATTTATTAGTAATTACTTTTTTTGTCAGTAGGCCATCTATTTATTGTTTGTTTATCGAAGATGCAAAGCAACATCAAATAAAATAAACCATGATGAAATAAAAATAATAAAACAATGATAGTAATAGAATCAGATTAGGTACTGACTTACCTCAAACTGTATGATGAGAAGCCCTTTCTCATCAGGGTCTCTGTACACAGGCATGCCCTCATTGTGAATACATTTTAGATCATTAGGTTTTATTACTTGACCTAAAACAAAAAAGAATAAAAATTCAAATCAATCCAAATTGATTTGCTGTCCTAAATATTAATTGAAATACCACTTGAATATTATGCACATATAAATAGTATATAGGACATACCTGGAGGTGAGTTGATGAGTAACAATCGGTTATCTAGCGTACGAATAGTTTTTTTAAACCCACAGAGCGCCTCCACCAGCTTGATCTTCATCTTCATGATCAGGTTGTCATCACGTCTTTGGAAGACGGGGTGTTGTTTAATGTCCAGTACGATTATAACATCACCAGGCTCCAGTCCAGGCTCTTGATCTCCTTCTCCGTGGAATGTGATCTTCTGGCTGTCCTTCATACCTGTGACAAACACCATTATTAGTATGCTTCTAGAATACTTCATTAGAATACAGAAGTTCATGTTCTTCTACCTTTGTCAATATGGACTTCAAGAATCTTCTTCTTGCGTTCCACTTTGTGCCCATTGCAGTTCTTGCAACGGTCCTTGGAGTTGAACTTCTCTCCCTGTCCTTGGCAGTCGGAGCACATGCTCTGAATCTGCTGGATCATTCCCGGTCCAATCTGTTGCACCTGGACCTGAAACCCTCTTCCTTTACATGTTGAGCATTTTTCAATTGCGCCTTTTTTGCCTCCATAACCTGCCAGACAGATCATTTACATCTTAAATCTTTAAATCACCACTGGGTCTTGAATTACAATATTATTATACCAATTTTCCCATTAAAGGAACTCAACAGACTAGCAACCTTCTTACCTTCGCATTTCTCACAGATCACGTTCTTCTGAAGGCCAAGTTTTCTTGTTGAGCCGTTGTATAATTCCTCCAGTGTGACTCCAAGCTGGTGAACCACATTCTTACCTGAATAAAGGAAAACAGATTACACAGTATTAGCTACCAACCACCAGGATATGAAACATTAAAGTGCATAAACTATATTTAAGACTATATTTGACTTCCCATGGGGGGACGTTACAAAACATGACACTTGCTTACTGCCACCTAGTGCAGTAAATAAATGTCTCACCTCTCCTTTCTCTCTGCATTCTGCCACCGCCACCAAAAAACATGTTGAAAATGTCCATGGGAGATTCTCCTCCTGCCATGCTTCCCTCCTTTATGGCTTGTTCACCACCTTGGTCATACAAATCCCTCTTTTTGGGATCTGACAGGACCTCATAGGCTTGTGATATTAGTTTAAACTGGAGGATAGAAAAGATATTAATTTTAATAATGCATGCATGAACACACTTCCCATCACGAATCTGTTATTTTTCTGTACTAATTAACAAATTTATTACGTATTTTAAATTGCTTAATTTCTTTTTTACCTTTATTCTCCTTGGCCATTTATTCTGCATTTCTTTTTTCTTTCTTTTTCATTTTTTCCCCATCACTTAGTATTAGGATTTTTCATTGTTTGATTATTTGTTATTTTTTTCCCATGATTTTTATTTTTGTATGTGTATTTTTGAAAACTGGCAAGTTCGTCTCTTTCTCTCAAAATCACAACAAATATCTAAATAAAACAACATGGTCACACTTTATTTTAAGGTCCAATTCTCGCCATTAACAAACCGTTAACCACGACTTTTGCTTCAATAAACTCCTATTTTGCTGCTTATGAATAGTAAGTGTTATGAAATGTTAAGTTTAGGTATGGACCCTTTCCACAAGACTGTGAAGATACACATTGTTGTTATAAATGTACATACATTAAAAAAAAATCTAAATATAAAAAACTTTACGAGGATTTACGATGCTGTTTTTTTATATTTAGATTTTTTTTTAATGTATGTACATTTATAACACTATACTTTGCATAATATCACCTTTGCATCAAATTACAAAAAAAAACAACTAGTTAACGCTAATGCCAGGGTGTTTCTAATGCAGTGTCTATGGGAGGGATGGTAAATTTGACATCGTTCTCTCTTCTGACTACCATTATCATTCTCTCTCAATTTTTTCATGAAGTCATGAAAACCCTCTTGCGGAGTATTTGTTTTGCTTTTTGAGCAAATGGGAATGCAAAAAATATATTTATGGTACTCTCCCATTCACTGCTCTTGAAGTTATCCCAACTATGACGACTTCCGCTGCTGAGAAACCCAGAAATGTGAAAAAGGTCCATTGGGTAGGTTTAGGGATGTAGAATATGGTCATACAGAACATGTGCTTTATAAGTACTAATAAACAGCCAATATGTTAATAATAGGTATACTAATAAGAAACTAGTTAATAGTGAGAATTGATCCCTATACTAAAGTGTTAGCAACAACATAAAATAAGATCAAATATAATAATTAAACAAAATACTTAAATTCAATTGTGATTTTTTTCTTCTTCTTTCATTACTGTCAAGGGCTTCTGCACCATTTACTGCTTCATTCAAAATAATAAAAATTTAAAAAATCTAATAAAAATACAAATACAAATCATGAACTATTTGCATCCATATATGTGGATAGATCTCAAAGCCATGTTTAGAAATCAGGGGCGTTTCCTCCGAGGAGGCAAGGGAGGCAGTGTCTCCTCAAAAAGTTGGATGAGAAAATAATCGATATTACAAAAATAAAACAGCGCAAATATGACTAAATATGATATTAACAGGTCTAAAAGTCACTCGTTTTTATAAAGTAACACTGTCCAACAGCGACAGCCGCAGCTAAAGTTACAGCGGAGGCTTGCCTCCCTTCGGTCCAT